CAAGTTAGCATGAAGTTTTTAATAAAAAATCGCGAAAAGTGTTGAAAACACCCTAAACTTGACGAGAATTTAAGGGTGTATTTCAATCATGTTGCAAAATCGAGGGTATATATATTTAAGTTCAATTAGTCAAATAAAATGATATTTTTAAAATTATCAATAATTTAAAGATGAAACTAATAATTTACACTAAATTTAAATTTAAAGGGGTTTGCGATGCTTTCTCTCTGGAGTGTTAAACAACCTTAGTAGGTTAGGTAGATGCTAGTAATTGCTAGAGTATATTTGATGGCCAAAGTAAATGCAAAATTAATTAACACGTTTGAATATTCATTTAAATATTAAAAATTAAATAGTAAATAATTAAAAATATTTCTTTTTCAACCTTAATTTTTTCAAAAAGAAAAAAAAATCAAAAGTGACATGTTCATTATAGACGAATTCATGACTTGATTTTTATGAATTTTAAATTTTAGTAACTAAGTTTTAAATTATTGTTTTATACATATCAACATTACATTTATAATTTTATCATAGTTAAATGAAACATTAAGGTAAGATAGAATAATTTATTTATTTTTTTGGTGGAATAGGAATTAACTATAGTTAAAGGGTATTAGTTACATATGATAAAAACACAAAAGGTTTCACCATATATGTGTCATTAACACTTATAATTAAATCAAGTGTTTGACTTTTTATCTCATAAATACGTAATTAAACTTATAATTGATTAACCTATAAAATAACTTAATTGGTCTACCTATGGATTTAGAAGAGCCTAATAATTTTGACTTCTTATCTCATAAATACATCATTAAAATCATTGATTAATAGATTAACCTATGAAATAACTTAATCGTTCCACCTATGGATTCAGAAGAGCCCGATAATTTTGACTCAAATTTTGTATTTATATTAAATTCTATTTAATATATAGAAATAATTTATTCAGAATTTAGTAACTAGACTTTTCTAGAATCTAAAATTCATAAACTTAAAATTCTGACTCTGCTTTCTACATATTATTTCATTGTGAAGTAATATTAGGATACAAACAATAATTAATTAATTAATTACAAATACGTAAAGAATTGTTGTTAAATTAGTTAAATTTGGTAAGACCAAATCGATCATCCAACACTCCAACTTAATTAATCACACAATTAATTCCTGCCAAAAAAACAGCCAATTGCTGCTCTAATTAACTGTTTACATTTATCAACTGTCCAATTTCTATGTGACAAAATTAAATGTATTAATTAGCTTTTGGAAAAAGTAGAAGGTTATTAACAACTTGTTTTTGGATGATTGTTACCTATTGTATCGTGTTGTTATTTTAAACGTAATGTTTATTTTGATTATTTATGTATATTCTATTGTATCATGTTGTGAAATCATATGTTATATAATGATCAATAAAATAGTTTCACCGCCCAAGTTGAAATCATATTTAATTTACTTATAATTAAATAAGTAAATTGAGAATTGCATAGATGTATGAAAAGCCAAAATATTCTTGTTCAATGATAGAGAGGCCTGCAATGAGTAATTAGTAATGTTTAGCCCAATATATTATTATAGGCTTTATAAAGTGAGAGAGCATATTCACTTTATAAATTTGTTGATAATAATATCTTACTCATAATATTAGCTTTTGCTTGAGCATTTATGACTTTGTTGATTAATATCTAGTTCATAATACTAACGTCACTTGAGCATCAAGCGATTTTGTTGGCCAACATCTGACTCACAATACTACAACTTTATTGTCCAACATCTACTTCATAAGTTTGCTTCGTGCTCACACTATTACAACTTCGTTAGTTAAAATCTGACTTACAATACTAGCCTCCACTTGAACCAAGCAACTTAATTGTCCAACATCTGACTCACACTACGACTTTATTGGCCAACATCTAACTTACAATATTAACCTTCACTTGAGCACCAAGTGACCTTGTTGACCAACATCTAACTCACAATACTACGACTTTGTTGGCCAATATCCAACTCATAATACTTATTGAGTTAACGACTTTATTAACTAACATCTAGCTCACAATACTACGACTTTATAATCAACATGTAACTCATAATACTAGCTTCCATTTGAACACCAACAATTTTATTTGTTAATATCTGACTCACAATACTACGACTTTGTTTGTCATAATTGGTGATGCATCATTTCTTTGATCCAAATCATCTACTTCTTTGATCCAGCTCCACCTCAGGCCCAATTGTCTATTCCCATCAACTCTTCTCAAGTGCTCTCTCTGTCCCTAATTATTTGTCCATTTTTGCATTGACACACCTATTAAGAAAATAATAATTGACATAGTGAGTTTACCATTTTACCTCTATTAATTATGAAGTTGATGAATTAAAACCTTAAGATTCTCAAAAAATTCTACTTTTTTCAAAGTAATCAATTGAGGGTATTAGGGACAACTAAAAAAAAAAAGTAGACAAGTAATTAGGAACAGAGGATATATTATAATTGCGTACTATTTAAAGGCTCAAGAATCTCTCTTCTCAAGTATTATAATTGCGTACTATTTATAGGCTCAAGAATCTCTCTTTCGCCTTTTTTTTTTAAGTAAGATTAATAAACCTCATATCTTCAATTATAATTAAGCTTGAAAATCTCTCTTTCGCCTTTTCTATTTCTCCATATCTCATATGTAATTAGCTTGTTCATTTGCCCAAATTACGATCTAACGATTAATTTGCTCACATCTACTTAAATATTACTCCCTCAATTCCAAATTTTAGTCAGTTCAAAAAAGAATGACATATTTTTATATTAAGTAACAATTTAATTATAAAATATCTATTTTACCCTTAATGAAATGATTTAGGGCCACACAAATTTCAATCAATTATTTTAAACCATAAATTTTAAAAATCATTTTTCTTTTTGGATTCGATGTCAAATTAAACTACCCCACATAAAATAAACTGGAGAAAGTATATGTTAAAAAAGAAATTATTCATTAATTAAACACTCACAACATTTTCTTGATTACAAAGAGCAAGTAGAATACACACACAACCTTAGACAAACTACAAACACGCATTAACAAACCAAAAGACTTACACTCGATTTGGATAATTGTTACCCATTATTTCATAATATAATATATTGTATTATATCGTACGATAAATACAATATTTGAATAGACTATATTGTTCCATTTTTAACAGAGGACTTTCGACAAACACTTGATCTGCAACTTTTTTTCAACCAGAAATATCAATGGCTTTCACTTCAGGTTTCTTCCCTTCTTCTTTAGGAACAGTTACAGTAAGCACTCCATTCTCCATCGCAGCCTTAATTTCCTCCATTTTCACATTCTCCGGCAACCTAAACCTCCTTACAAACTTACCACTACTCCTCTCCATACGGTGCCATTGATCATTCTTCTCCTCTTGTTCTTTACTCCTCTCACCACTAATCTGCAAAATCCTTCCTTCTTCAACTTCAACTTTCACTTCCTCTTTCTTAATCCCAGGTACATCCACTTTAAAGACATGGGCTTCCGGGGTTTCTTTCCAATCGATTTTCACATTTGCGAAAACAGAGGTTTCATTAACAGATGATGGGGGGTTTGCAATTGGGAAACCTTCGAGTGGATCCCATATGTCTAGTGAAAATGGGTCGAAGATGTTGCTCCGGCGACCACCAAAGAAAGTTGGAATCAGAGACATTTTAGCTCAAAATTGGGTTGTGTAAAACAGAGTATAGAGTATAAAAGCTTGAGTTTTTGGTTTCAATTGAAGTGTTTGATTTGGTTGATGATGAAGGAGATGAAATTGCAGTCATATTTATAGGTGACGAAACCAGAAACTTTAGCAATTGCAGTGTAATCTAGGATCTTCTTGTAGTTTTGGGAACAGAGGAAGAGGTCTCTACAATATTCCACACAGTTCTTTAACTTTTTTATTATTATTATAATTGTTATGTCGTGTTAGTTTATAAGTGCATCTCGATTAATTTCAGTTTTAGTTTTATGATCTTGATAAGAATTTGGAGGTGAGGGTCAAGGTGAACCCCGATTAACGATGAGAAGCGGAATTTAAAATCTCTTTCCTTCAACATCAAAACGTTTGTATTTATGTATCTCTTTTATCAAGTAAAGTGCTTAAAAGGATCAAATTATGAGAACGAATTTATAAAATATTTTTCATTAATAAGTATTATGTAACTTTATTTAACAAAAATAAGACTAATCAAGAAAAAAAAGATTCTTTGTGCTAAATTTAAATTAAAAACTTATGATTTTTGACATACTTTATAGAACACTAAGTACAGACAAAATAAAATAACTTTTAAGTAATAGTAAAATATTCAATCTAGAGACAAATATTTTGATTTTTGATTTTTAAAAAAAGACTCAAATCTACTATTACATAATATTCATCAATTCAATAATATAATTTTTTACTTGTCACTTTCAGAACAGAACCATCAACATTTCAACTAATATATCACTCAAACAACTATAAATTAGTGAAAAAAATACACTTCAATATAAAATAACCTTCTTTTATACCGTGAATAAATTGTAAAAGCCTCTTATCCCTTATTTGAATAATTGTTAGCTATTGTATTATATTATACTATTAGTTTATATATCATATTTATTTTAAATACTACTTAAATTTTATTATATCATATCATTTAAATATTCTTAGATAATGTTAAAAAATCTTATCTTGTATAACAATTGATTTGAATCGATAGCACCGTTACTTTAATTTATTTAAATATTATATATAGATGAAATAATACGTGACAACCATCCAAACGAGGTGTTACTATTCATATCAAATCAAAAAGGAGAAAGAAGATGCTAGATTAGCCTGGAACTGTAACAAAGTTTCTATGGAATACTCTCAAAGAAGATCCTAGATTATACTTGAATTGCTAAAGTTTCTGGACCTATAAATATCACTGCAACTTCTCTCCTTCATCATCAAACACTTCAATTGAAACCAAAAATTCAAGCTTTATACTCTATACTCTGTTTTCTACAACCCAATTTTGAGCTAAAATGTCTCTGATTCCAACTTTCTTTGGTCGGAGCATTATCGTCGACCCATTATCACTAGACAAATGGGATCCACTCGAAGGGTTTCCAATTGCTAACCCTACATCCTCTGTTCGTGAAACCTCTGTTTTTGCAAATGCAAGAATCGATTGGAAAGAAACCCCGGAAGCTCATGTTTTTAAAGTGGATGTACCTGGGATTAAGAAAGAGGAAGTGAAAGTTGAAGTTGAAGAAGGAAGGATATTGCAGATTAGTGGTGAGAGGAGTAAAGAGCAAGAGGAGAAGAATGATCAATGGCACTGTATGGAGAGGAGTAGTGGTAAGTTTGTAAGGAGGTTTAGGTTGCCGGAGAATGTGAAAATGGGGGAAATTAAGGCGGCGATGGAGAATGGTGTGCTTACTGTAACTGTTCCGAAAGAAGAAGAGAAGAAGCCTGAGGTGAAAGCCATTGATATCTCTGGTTGAAAAAAAGTTGCAGATCAAGTGTTTGTTGAAAGTCCTCTCTCAATAATGTTTGTGTTTTGGTTTGTTATGTGTGTTTGTAATTTGTCTAAGGTTTTGTGTGTATTTTAACTTGATCTTGTAATCAAGAAAATGTAATGTGAGTTTAATAATGAATAATTTCCTTTGAACATATACGCAAATTTTACGTATATTCTATCCTTCTTATTAGATAGGCAATGGGGAAGCATGATGTTGCTCTTTATTTTTATTAGGACAGTTCGATGCATTAAGCATCTCACGTTTATACATGTCTTTTGTCATTCTCATTGTGGGGAGGTATGATGTTGCTCTTAACTTGCCCTTCACATTCTAATTGTGGGAGGCAATGGGGAAGCATGATGTTGCTCTTTACTTTTATCAGAACAGTTAGGTGCATTAAACATTCCACATTCATGCATATATGAGTTTGAATTCTATCAAACTCATTCTGTCAAAACAGTTTGATGCACCAAGCATGCACTAAGCATATATACATTCAAGCATGCACTAAGCATATATACATTCATGCATATATGGTTCTTTAACTTCTGTCATGTCAGTTTGATGCACCAAGTATTCAACATTCATGCATATATAGAAACTTAGGAAGTCAGTTTGATGCACTAAGCATTCCACGTTCACACATATTTGGGTCTTAACTTCTGTCAAGGCAGTTTGATGCACTAAACATTCCACATTTAGGGCCTCAACTTCGGTTGGGACAGTCTGGTACATTAAGCATCTTACAGTCCAGGTACGAAAACTTGACTTCTGCAAACTAAACAAGAAAAGGCACTTCCAGAACTGGATTCTGCACTAGATATTGATCATTAATTTGCAAAAGTATTATTCCAAAATGGTTACAACATTCTCCTCTTTGATATACTACACTGCAAAATACTGGTATGAGAATGAACTGACTTGTTATATAAATAACAAAACATCTACTGAAGCACAGCAATTACATCAGATGCCCTCAATGTGATGTACTCTGAACCATCAGCTCCTTTGAAGTCATTGCCAGCATATTTGGAATACAGAACTGTATTTCCAGGAGATACTGAAAGTGCTTTCCTTTTCCCTTCCTCGTCGAGAGGACCAGGTCCAACAGCTATCACCTGTTTTCAACCACGGAAAAGGTAAACGATATCAACAAGAGTTCAAATTCTACACGCTTAACGTTTTCCACTAACGCGTCACCTAAAAGATAACTACATGTTGATGATGGTGTAAATTCTTTCACTGTCACAAGTCATTTGGCTCACATCGTAGTTGTACGAGAAACTATAATGCAAGAATAGCAATGAGATTTCCCAGCGCATTGTAAATACGTGTATTCTTATTTCACATTTTATCCCACATAATGTAATGTAGCTATTATTAGATAAAGCCAACACATACCAATTTTATGTTGGAATTGGTTATTTCAAACCATCAACCAAATGACTCCGAAGTGTATGAATTATCTCCATTGCTAGTGCTCTTTAAAAATGCTGCTGCACGTGTGTCGGATCCTCTAAAAGATACTATTTTTAGAGCGTCCGACAGGCATCCATAGACATTTTCAAAGATTCCGAGAAACATAGATAACAAGTATATCCTATCAACAAGTATTATGGGAGTAATAATACTAGCTGAACTGCAGGGTGCATATTTTTACCGTGCCAAATGAAGGTTTCTCCTTTGCAGCCTGGCTCAAAAACAATCCCCCAGTAGTTTTTTCCTCAACTTCAGCCACCTGAAAAAAAATTCAAAACTCTCATCAACCAAAACTTAATACTAAAAAAAGGGAATTAATGGTCGAAGACACACCAAAACTATCACTTTCTCACACTCCAACCATCAGTTGTTTTCTTTTTCTACTGAAATAATCATCATTGATATATTAAAACACACCTCGAAGTTGATTAGGCCAATTATCAGCTGTTTCCTTTTCCTATCTGAACTATCACTATCTATTCAACTAGGTGTGTCTTAATACATAGATGATCATGATAGTTAAGGTAGAAGAAGGCATGGATGGTGATAGTTCATGTACGTAAAAGGAACAAGTGATAGTTGGGATGTGAAAATAGCGAAAAAAATGATAGTTTTGGTATACTTTTGACAAGGCGTAGATGGAAATAGTTCAGGTAGATAAAAGGAACAATTGATTATATTGGGATATGAAATTCGTGACAAGCCATAGATGGTAATAGTTCAGGTAGATAAAGGAAACAATTGATAATTGGGATATGGAACTCGCGGACAAAATGATTATTCGGGTGTGTTTTTTACCATTATCCGAAGAAAATGATATTGGAGAACAGCAAATAATGTAGAAATATTTATCAAACAGAGTATGCACCATTTAATCAAAATATAGATGCCACAGAAAAGAAACAAATAAAAGAGCAATAGCAACAAACCTTGATTAGAACTCTGTCATTCAAGGGCTGCAGATCCTTGATATCATCTGTCTCAAGAATACCAACAATGTCATCCTCTTTCAAAATCAGGTGCTTTGATCCATCAAACTCCAGTTCAGTTCCCGCATATTTCGAGTACAGCACTTGGGTACCATTCTACACGTAATACGATCCGTTTAGAAAAATGATCAACCAAGCTTAGAAGACATGTTGAGTATGACATTGATTACGGAACTACCTTTATACTAATTTCCACTGTAGTCTTGCCAATTGAATGACCCTCCCCAACAGCAACAACCTCGCCTCCTTGTGGCTTCGACTGTGCTGACATTGGAAGCAGGATGCCGCCTACACTCTTCTCCTCTGCAGTCTTAATCTTCACCAGAACTCTATCACCCAATGGTTTGAGTGAAGTGTACTGCGCGAACAACAACAACAGAACAAGGAAGCATATAAATATGAAAACTTCCCCGACTGACAAAACTAGACTCTGAAAACCACTAGATACTAAAATTGATTAATACAATCAACTAACCGAATGCAGAAAATAACAGATATAACCATGTTCAACGAATTCATCTTTGGTTTTCAAATACATATTTGACAGAAGATATCTATTTTATCCAGGCTATGAATGCCAGAACCCAGCTCACTGACTTGGAAAACAAGAACACAATAGGCAACAACCCAATAACAACGTCATCACGTAGCTTAACCAACCACAGACAAAGCTACATAGACATCAGAACAGTCAGCTTAACTCAATTAGCAACTTACTTTAAGCAGTCCAATTTTGTGTTGAAAGTAAGTGGTTCGGAAAACTATTCCCAGCAGAATACATCTACCAATACTCTTAACTCTAATTTACAAATTGCAACTTTGACAAACGAAAAGTTGACATGGTCGTATAACAACAAATTTGGGAACAGTGGAAAGAACCCATCAAGGTGATTCTACCTACCTTCGCAAGCTATTAGATTTCAAGCAAAACATAAAACAAGAACTATACAAGAAATAAACCAAACTATATACCTTGGGGGATACGACTGTTGAAGCCTTAACGACAAGTCCATGAAACAACCTGCTATTCTGCTTTAAAGGAGCGAAAGACGAAACCTTTAAATTACTTGTGGACCTAAGCCCCTCAAAGGATGCAAAACCCTTGGCAGAAATGGATGACGCGGTCAGCTGAGTTGTCGCCATTCCTTTCTGAGCTCAATCAAGAAACCCCACAACAGAAATGGTCAATATCCTCAAATACCAGTAGCCAAAAGTGTACAAGTATGAATAAAAACTCAAGAATTATGAATGTAATCAAGAACCCCACAACAAATGGTACCCCACATGCAAAAAGAGCAAAACCAAAGGTAAGAACCATATAATTGTGAACTAAATCAATCCCCACAACAAAAAGGGTAAAACAGCAGCTCCAGACAAGCAAAAATAGTAAAAATTGTGACTAGCTATAGAATTAAAGATAAAAGCAGCACAGCCAGAAGCAAAAATAGGAACAGTTACAGATAAGAACCATAACATTCGGAACTAAATCAAGAACCCCACAACAAAAATAGCACAGCAGAAGCAAAATTATGGTAAATTGAAAGACAAAAATTCAAAAATGTTAGTCAATGATAATAAAGGTAGCACCTTTATTGGAAAATTGGTTTCACTAATAGCAAAGGAGAAGTTTTCTCTAGATAAGAACCATAAAATTCTGAACTAAATCAAGAACCCCTATACAAAAATGGTCACAAGAACAGCAAATAGAAGCAAAAATATAGTAAATTTAATGAGAAAAGCTCAAGAATTTCAATCAAATCATAAAAAAGGAAGTACCTTTATTGGCAAAATTGGTTTGACTGGTAGCAATGGAGAGGTTTTCTCTACTATGGAGTGAGGAGTGAATAAGGGGTGTGTTTTAGACTGTTTGAAGATAAAATGTGTAGAGTTGTTAAGGATAACAAAACCCTAGAAGTTTCTAAGAGGGGACTTTTTCTTCTTATTTTCAAAAAAGAAAAAAGAAAAAAAAAATTGTGTTTATCGAAAATCGCATTTTTATCTAACAATAACATTCCACTTATGAGGCTATACTTGATACTATTGTTGCTATTGTTCTTTTTCTTTTTTCGTCCAAACTTGGAAGGGGACGAGATACTCGTATAACTATTTAGTGTCATCTAACCCGTAATTGCAATGACCCAATAGTAAGAGCAGAACTTAACCAACTATTGTAGAAAGATCTTATTAAAAAAAATAACGTGGTAAAATTTTTACTTTGAATTTGGAGATAATGTATTAATCGAACAAAGAAATACTATCTCAGTCTCACTTGGGCAATAATTTCTTTTTTAAAAAAAAATAAAAATTTATGATATTAAGTATGTTAAACATTTGAGTAGATTTTTCACGTTTATGCATTGTGTATTTGATTATGTTTCCTTTGAAATTGGCAATATCGGAAACAACCTTTCTACTAAATATTTATTCCGCTGCATCAACATCATCAAACAAAGAGATCTTTACGTAAATACACAATCCAATTCATTGTTTACTTTTTCTAATTGATATGAGAATGAGCATATCAATAACGTATTCAGTGTGATCCCATTGTAAAAGCTTAACGCTATACAAACCTTACTCTTACCTTACATGAGATAGAGAAGTTGTTTTTAATAGAGCACGACTTTAGAAAAACGTAATACAAGAGTGAAAGAAGCTCAGATGAAAATACTAAAAAGAAAAAAATATTGACAATAAAAATAATAAGGTAACCAAAGAAAAAGAAGCAAACAGTATTAATAAAAATGAAGAATAAGATAATAATAGAATAATATTGAAAAGAGAAGAGCTCTCCTCCTAAAAAAAAAAGAAATCGCTCGACTACCTACTAACATTCTCTCCTAATCTAGGGTCATGACCCTCGATGAGCAGAAGATGTGTCATGTTCTCTCTAATCACCTCTCTTCAATTCTTCTTCGATCGAAAAGAGTGATTATTCATCTATGAAAGCACAGCCTTTACATCAGATGCCCTTAATGTGATATAATCAGAGCCATCAGCTCCTTTGAAGTCATTGCCAGCATATTTGGAATACAAAACTGTATTTCCAGGGGATACTGAAAGTAATGTCCTGTTTCCTTCCTCATCAAGAGGACCGGGACCAACGGCTACTACCTGTTACAATCACGGAAAAGGTAACCGATTTCAGCAAAAGTTTAACTTTCATACACTGACGTTTTTCACAATCAGGTCACCTAAAAGATATCGACAGGTAACTGTTTATAAAAAAGCAAACATTAATAACCTACTATAACATGTTAACATATGCTGATAGCGGAGATTCTTTACGTTTAGGGATCATTTGGTTCACCATCATTAGTTACACGGGGATAATATCAGACACGGGAGAAATAATAAACGGAGTAATACTACTAGCTGAACTGCAGTGTGAATATTTTTACCGTGCCAATCGAAGGTTTCTCCTTTGAGGACTCACTCAAAAACAATCCTCCAGCAGTTTTTTCCTCAGCCTCGGCCACCTGATAAAATGCGATGACCAAATTACCACTAGTCATTCAACGCCACCCGGCTCATGTAACTCATAACATGCAGACGCAAAGCAGACATAGCAAATAATAACGAGATCAAAACATGGCATCCAGATCAGTAAGCAAGAACTACTTTTAAAAAAATAGAATTGGGGGGAAAACGCTCATTATGTACAAATGTTTATCATGCAGAGCGTGTATCGCTTAATCAAATCGTAGATGCCACACAAACAGGGAGATACGGTGTGATAATGACAAACCTTGATTAGAACTCTGTCGTTCAAGGGCTGCAGGTCTTTGATGTCTTCTGTTTCGAGAATACCAACAATGTCATCCTCTTTCAAGATCAGGTGCTTTGATCCATCAAACTGCACTTCGGTTCCCACATATTTTGAGTACAACACTTGGGTACCAGTCTACACAATAAGATCATTTTTAGAAAAAGATCGGCCACGCATAAAAACAAGGTTGAACACATAACTTGATTATGAAATTACCTTCACACTAATTTCCACTTTACTCTTCCCAATTAAACGACCCTCTCCGACAGCAACAATCTCACCTCCTTGTGGATTTGACTGTGCTGTTGTTGGAAGTAGGATACCACCAACAGTCTTCTCCTCTGCAGTCTTAATCTTCACCAAAACTCTATCACTCAAAGGTTTAACTGAAGTGTACTGCACGAACAACAAGAAGAGAATAAAGAAAATGATAAATATGAAAACTTTCCTGCGAGAACAACAACGGAAACACTCAGCCTATGAAATATCAGAATCACAGCTCTTCCGCGAGGAAACTAGTCGTGTAGTTTAACCAACTGCATGAGATAGCAACTCAGTAACACATCAGAAAAGTGATCTTAAATTAGTTAGTAGCTTGATAGCCAACTTCCCCGTTGAGAGCAATAAAGCTAATTAACAACATTGACTCACAAAAATTTGATATAGTAGAAATATGGTTGGCGGACAATTTTCACCACGGGGATTCAAAATATAAGGAAATAAACACACGAAGAAGCCAAGGGTATTCAACATTTGTTACGTAAGTAGATAAAAAAGAGTTTTAACCCCTTATATATAGTATAATTTTCCCATGAAGGGGTTTGGATGACCCCCTAGCTTTGCCCATGAATTAGCAATCAATTCGGAAGCAGAAAAAACCCATCAAATTAATTCTTCCTAGCTATTATAGCTAACTAACTTAATGAAATAAAGAAGTAAATGCACGAAGAAGCCAACAGGATTCATCATCTACTATATTACAACATTGACTCACCAAAACATGACATAGTAGAACATCAGTGGCATACCCATATTCTCACTAAGGGAGCTCCAAATATATTGAATTAAGCTAACGATTCAACATCTACTATATATACAGTGTAATTTTCCACCGAAACGCCCTTTAGCATTGGCAACTAATTAGGGAGCCCAAAAATCCCATCAAGTTAATTCTTCCTATCTATTCAGCTACTATAACTAACTAACTAAACTAATGAAACAAAACAAGAACCAACGGAGCAAAAGACAGCAAATTTGCATACCTTAGGAGCAACAACAGTTGCAGCCTTAACAACAAGTCCATGAAAAAACCTCATATTCTGCTTCAAATGACCAAAAGATGCAATCTTTACATTACTAGTAGACCTAAGTCCTTCAAATGAAACAAACCCTTTAGCAGATATGGATGATGCTGCCATCTGAGTTGTTACCATTTCTTCTGAGCTAAAAAATCAAGAAACCCCACAAACAAAAAAGGGTCAATTTCTTCATTAACCAAAAGCAAAAAGAATTCAATAAGATAAAAATTCAAGATTTGTTAATTAAGTCAAGAATACATTAACATAGAGAAACCCCACAAGCCAAAAAATAGTAAATTTAAAGATAAACTCAAGAATTTCAATCAATCATGAAAAAGGAAGTACCTTTATTTGGGAAAATTGGTTTTGAGTGAGTAAATGAGATGTGTGTTTAGACTGTGGAAGATACAAAGGGATAACAAAATAGGTCCAAAAACAAGGGATTTTTTTTCTTTTTTTATTTTTGGTTACATATAAAATTATTTCCAATATATGATACATTAAAAAAAAATAACTCTTAAATCAAAACTGACTTAGATACACTCTAGTTTACAATATTATGTATCTTACCAGATTTTGGTGCCTACAGATATGTTCAGGTATATGTATCTCAAATAGATGGGGTCAAATTTAGGTATAATTTATTTTAGATACATTATATTCAAGTGGATTCGCTTATATCTGGGATACATAGCAAATCTCGTTCGCGTTCCTCGCCACTCTCTCATGTATCTAGAGAGAGTCACTCTAGATACATACAAATACATGTATCTAGTGTGATTCACATGTATCTAAGAGATGCACGAACCTGGATAGCCTCTCTCCCCAATCTCGCTCAGTTCTATCCCCATTTTTGTGCATCTAGTAGCAAAAATAAATGTATAAGTCTAAGATACGTAGGGCACTCTTAATTAGTAGTAGAGATAAGACACAAGTACCCCCTAGACTATGAACAAAATCCTAGAGAGACACCTTAACTAAACTAAGGTCCTATTATCCTCCCCTCCCCCCCCCCCCCCAGAACCTACTTTTTTTGTAATTTTGTACACACGTGGAGTCACAAAGTGTGACCCGTAAGCTAGCCAAAAGGTGTACACAATTACAAAAAAAAGTGAGTTGGGGGGTGAGGTAATAGGACCTTAGTTTTTGTTAAAATGTGTCGCTATAATTTTGGTCGTAATCTAGGGGATACTTATAGCTTATCCCATTAGTAGTAAGATACGTAATATTTTAAAAATATAAATAATAATAGTATATAGTGGTTTTTCCTATTACTAACTACTATGGCCTCAAATTGAGTGACATATACATATGGTAACATATAAATTCAAACGATGATACTATTTCCTACCACCAATTTTCTAATTAAAGCACAAATTTTATTTAAGTTATAAGAATTTTTAAATATTTTTTTTGTAATTTTACTACATTAGTTCCATATCACTATCATATGGAGAATTGTTGTAATTAATATTCCAACTTCTAGATCTTTTTGGAGTCCACACGCTGAGAGTTAGGAATCACAACAAGTCTAATTTGACTAACATGGTGGCATTAATTATTTGATAGTAACACTTCTAGTTAGGTGCACCTCGTAATTAGTGACGAAGTCATAATTTTAAAAAAAAATTAAAATATTGAAAAAGAAATATATAAAAAAGTCAAAAATAAAATAAAATTGACATATATACTCTATACATAAGAAAATAATTTAATTATAAGTGAACAATATAATTATTTTGTTGAAGGCAGATTGAATAAAACTCTCAGTCCTACCAGGCTCTCCCGCTAGCCACATGTTTGATTATTAAACTCTACACAAATCATGACTTGAACAAATATACAAAAAAAAAATCATCTAGTATATACTTTTTGCTGAGATTTGAACTATAATTTTTGAGATTTGAATTCACTTTTCTAACTTTAGGTCACACCCTTGAAATTCACTAACTGAAATGGACCTAATAAGACGGAAAGAACACTAAATAAAATGGAACGAGGTGAAAAATCATGAGTGTGTGTATATATATATATATATTAACTAGCATGACGAATTTTTTCTTTCTATATATATGATCGGATCTATATATTACTTTTATTTCTGTAATAATATTCTATAACAACAAACATTTATTATTTACAATCGATCTTATGTTAAAGTAATTATATCTTTATATAATATCAATAATCGTCATTATAATGGAACGTTCTTTATAAGGAAAAGAAACAATTATTTTCTCAATTCATTTTTAGTTGTTATAGTTTATTTTTCAAGAGTCAACTGAGTGAATTTTTTATCAATATTTAAAATATAGTTTCATCATTTTAATAATAGTTCAATTTACCTCTTTGCAAATTAGTTAAATTAATTCTCATAGAGTAAAATGTGACAAATAAAAATAAATGAATAAAGTAAAATTCAATTATAATTTAGATTATATATGTAGGTGTGAATATATATATATACTATGTTTTTGATAAGTAATGAGTGCTTTAAAGAAAGAATAAATGAACGCGCTTATCATTATCATAATATAATTTGAAGTTTGAGAGGGAAAAAAATGAGAATATTGCTGACTGCTAACCAAATATTTAACGACCCTTTTATGCCTAATTTTTGTTTGGTTTCTCACTATCGATAAAAAAAAGTTGAATTCGTGTCGAAATTCAACCTTAGATAAAGCATTCTTTACTAAAAATTTGAAAAATGAAATTTAAAAACTTTTTAGGTTTTGATGTAAGAAAAATTGACGGAGCTCGATTAGTTTTTTCGATCCATCCAAAATGTATAGATCAATTTTTTCAAATGATTTTTGGTGCGTTTTATATGTAGCTTTCGAATATTTTCTTTGTATTTAGAATTAGAGTGATTGAGTTCGTTTTTAATTTTTCGTGAAAAATTTAAAATATGTGGCACACACAGAATTTCAAATATAAACCATTTTTTATATGTCTCTTTAATATATTAAGTTCTTAATTATTGTATTTTATAGTACATTTTGAACCTAATTTTTTAATAATATATGTTATTTGCCATGTCCCAATTTATGTGGCATTAATTGATAGATTTGTTGGAGTCGAGAGATTTATTTTGTTAATTATTGTAATTTATAGTTTTTTTTCCGTCAATTTCAAACAATATATGTTGTTAATTGATAGAATACTTTTAATGTAATTTTAAAAAAAAAATATGTGTGACTCTCCATGTCCCAATTTATGTAGCACATGTAAAGTTTTGACAATTAACCAAAATTTTAATACATTTTAAAAAATATCTTTAAGTCGTTAAATTTTAAGTAATTTAAATTGTTGTATTATTTATTACAATTTATAATACTTTTAAAGTAGTTGAAATATTGTACTATTTATTATGATTTATAACACTTTTTTTAAAAATTTATGTCATATTATGGAATTTGAGAAGTTATTGAAATTTTTATATAATTTTAAAAATATTTTAAATTGTTAGCTATTGTGATTTGTAGTACTTTTTTTTAACATAATTTTGAAAATAATATTTATTACTCTATTTGTTCTAATTTATGTGGCAGATGCAGAATTTCAAATATTAACCCTTTTTTATATGTCTCTTTAATATATTAAGTTGTTAATTATTGTATTTTATAGTACATTTTGAACCTAATTTTTTAATAATATATGTTATTTGCCATGTCCCAATTTATGTGGCATTAATTGATAGATTTGTTGGAGTCGAGAGATTTATTTTGTTAATTATTGTAATTTATAATTTGTTTTTCGTCAATTTCGTCGACTATTTTTTTTATTAATTATTGTAATTTATTGTTTCTTTTTCGTCAATTTCAAATAGTATATGTTTATCATATAATCCATTTTATGTGGTACCAATAGAATTTAGAGAGTCAATTAAATATTTTATATAAGTTTTAAATAATTAAGCTGCTAATTATTGTAATGTATAGTATTACTTATATTATTTTTAAATATATTTAAATATTATATGTTAGGTTTTTTATCCTAATTTATATGGCATTGATAGAATTTAAAGTGTCAAATAATTGTTAATTATTGTAATAGATAATATGGAGTATTTAAGTCATTTATAGTATAGTAATTAATATATAATATGTAGTATTTAAGTGTTATATTATGGAATTTGAGAAGTTATTGAAATTTTTATATGATTTTAAAAATATTTTAAATTTTTAGCTATTGTGATTTGTAGTCCTTTTTTTTTACATAATTTTGAAAATAATATTTATTACTCTGTTTGTTCTAATTTATGTGGCACAGGCAGAATTTCAAATAATAACCATTTTTTATATGTCTCTTTAATATATTAAGTTCTTAATTATTGTATTTTATAGTACATTTTGAACCTAATTTTTTAATAATATATGTTATTTGCCATGTCCCAATTTATGTGGCATTAATTGATAGATTTGTTGGAGTCGAGAGATTTATTTTGTTAATTATTGTAATTTATAGTTTCTTTTTCGTCAATTTCAAACAATATATGTTGTTAATTGATAGATTTTTTGGAGTGGACTATTTTTTTATTAATTATTGTAATTTATTATTTCTTTTTCGTCAATTTCAAACAATATATGTTTATTATATAATCCATTTTATGGGGTACCAATAGAATTTAGAGAGTCAATTAAATTTTTTATATAAGTTTTAAATAATTAAGTTGTTAATTATTATAATGTATAATATTACTTATATTATTTTTAAATATATTTAAATATTATATGTTAGGTTTTTTATCCTAATTTATATGGCATTGATAGAATTTAAAGTGTCAAATAATTGTTAATTATTCTAATAGATAATATGGAGTATTAAGTCATTTATAGTATAGTAATTAATATACAATATGTAGTATTTAAGTGGAAGGTGGTGGAGCCCACTTATATAGTTTGATAAACATATTGGATATTAGTAGTGATTTATAGTATAGTAATTAATAATATATAATATGTAGTATTTAAGTGGAAGGTGGTGGGGCCCACTTATATATTTTATAAATAATTAGTAGTAGAGATAAGACACAAGTACCCCCTAGACTATGAACAAAATCCTAGAGAGACACCTTAACTAAACTAAGGTCCTATTATCCTCTCCCCCCCCCCCCCCCCCGAACCTACTTTTTTTGTA